GTGTGTGTGTGTGTGTGTGTGTGTGTGTGTGTGTGTGTGTGTGTGTGATTTATATATGCACATTGTATTGGTCTACCTTCTGTGGCTGACAAATTTCATTTTACTGTTCACTTTTCCTGAGAAGTTTTATTTGAAGACAAATGTAGAGAACTGAATTTTCTTTTCAGTTGATGTCCTCAAAGCCAATAGACCTTCACCTGCATTCCTGAGGCTGGTTTCTAGCTAAATGCCCAAGATTTGGATCTGGGTCTATAATATGTCAGACAAGGATTTCTCTAGAAATCCATTTCTGACAAATGGATTGGTCAAAAAGGATTATTCACCAGTAACACCCATATATGTGAAGGATATTAAATTTTCTCTGAATCCCAGACCAATTAACAGCTTTTCTAAGAATAATATATGAAATAACTATTCAGTTTTCCTTGCCCTATACTCTCAGAATGTATATATATATATCCTATAATTTGTGTGCCATACTTTAATATAACATAATAATTTATAGGATATCCTTCAACTGGTTGTATGAAGCATCTGAATAATGATTTTAAAAGTTAGCTTTTAGATAGAATATTATTTTGTGGAAATCTCTCCATATCAGGAAAAGGAAACAGAAACTATAAATGTGTAAGGATAATTTTTCATTTGGCACTTATTGAAATGAATAAATGAATAAAATTATTCAAATGAATAAAAAAATCTACTTCTGTTTCCCACTAGTATTTTATGGCTTAATGTAAGGAAAATTATAGGAGATGTCACTATTAAATATTTCCTTTATATAATCACTCATGTTGCAGTGTATGTATGTGTATATATATATATAGAGAGAGAGAGAGAGCACTATACAAATTCTGAATTTTTTCACTCTGCATACAGAATACTCCAGTGTGCTATCCTTCCTAGATAAAAATTGCTGTTATTGATCCACAATCAACAGAACATTCACCAAGTTGAGTTAATTCTTTTTAAAATCTCCTGAATCTATTCTTTTACATTCTCACTGCCACTACCCCAAGTAGTACACCTCCAAGTGCAAACACCCTTCTCATTTTCACTATTCCAATAGTCTTCTTAGTGGTCGCCCTGCCTGTAATCTCTGCCCTTCTGTTCTATTCTTCACACCATGGCCAGAGTCAGAACTGCAGAATTAGAAGGCCTCTACATTATATCCACCAAGTCATCATCCACCTGTTGCTTTAAAAACCACCAATGAAGTCTGCTCTTTCTCAAGGCAACCCCTTTTCCTTTTTGGATATTGCTCATGGTTAGGAAGTTTTTTTTTCATACATCCATCTTAAATTTGTCTCTTTGTAACTTTCAGTGCTCCCAATTTTGCCATCTGGTGCCAATCAGAACTAGTCTAAACTAAGGGTCCAAGGGCTCTTAACCTAGTGTTGATTGATTCCCTTTGTTAATCTTACAAATTTTATTTTGTTCACTTTAAAACATTTTTTCTGAAAAGGAGTGCATTGTTTCACCAGATTGCCAAAAGAATCCATGACACACGTGAAAAGGTTAAGAACCACCGGTTTGGAAATTCCAGGGAATCAGCAAAGATATTAATTGAAGCAATGAATTAGTTTCAGCAAATTTCAGGCTACAAAATAAATCCTCAAAAATAAATGGTATTTCTTTAAATAGTAACAAAACATAAGCAATAATAGAAAGGGAAATTCTATTCCAAATAACTACAAAATGCATAGAATATGTGGGCATCAACCTCCCAAAGCAAAAAAAAAAAAGACTTGCATGATTCAATTATGAAGTGCTCCTTAAAGAAATAAATAGCTAGAGGAATATTCAGTGCTCATGGCTAGGCCATACCAATAAAATAAAAATGACAATGCTACCAAAATTAACTTACACTTTTAATGCTATACCAATCAAATTACCAAGGGAATATTTGTACAGAGTTTGATAAAATAACAAAATTCATCTAGAAAAACAAAAGATCTAAAATAACAAGTATGAAAAGAAATAAAGATAAAGGAGAATAGCACTTCTAGACCTCAAACTATATTATAAAGCAGCTATCAACAAAACCATCTGGTATTAAAGAATAGAGAAATAGATTAATATAGCAGACTAGCCAAATGATATTCAGAAACAACAGAATTCAATAACTCAGCATTTTATAAAGTGGAAACATATTACCTAGGGGAAAATTCCCAATTTGATAAAAAAAAAAAACTGCTGGGAAAACTGAAAAGCAGTATGGCAGAAATTAGGTTTAGATCAACACCTTACATCACACTCCACAATAAATATTAAATTGATATGTAATCTTAATATTAAAGATCATATTATAAAATATTAGAATTGAAATAGGTTATATAATTTCACAGTTATAAAATGTGTTCTTAACTAAATAAGTGATAGAAACAATTAACGAAATATAAAATGGGTAATTTTGATTACTTAAAACTGAAAAGCTTCTGTAGGATGCATGTAGGATAAGAAGGGAAGTTGCTCAATGGGAAAAAAAAAATCTTTGTACCAAGTTTCTGTGATAAAGGTTTGGTATACAAGACACATAAACATTTAATAAACATATATACACATATGTGTGTATGTGTGTGTGTATGACTAGTAGTCATTCCCCAATAGATGAATGGTCAAAGGATATGAATGATCAGTTCTCAAAAAAAAAAAAAAACTACAAAGTTTTCACAACCACATGAGAAAATGCTCCAAATCTACTCATAATAAGAGAAATGCAAATCAAAACAATCATGAGGTTTCAGTATACACTTTGAAAGTTGGAAAAAATGACCAAAAATGGCAAGTCAATGTTGAAGGGCTTGTGGGAAAGATAGCTACACTAATAAATTGCTGGTGGGGCTGTGGGGTGGTTCAGCCATTTTGGAAAACAATTTGGAATTATGCAAATAAAGTGACTAAAATGTCCACACCCTTTAAGCCAAAGACTCCATTACTGGGAGTATAATCCAAAGAAGCCATCAATAAGAAAAAAGTTCCCATATACTCCAAAATATTCATAGCAGAACTTTTTGCGATAGCCAAGAACTAGAACAAAATAGATGGCAATCAACTGGGGAATAGCTTTAAAAAAAAAAGTGGCACATGAATGCAATGGAGTATGATGTAAGAGACTATATGGGTGATGAGTATGGAGAAGGATGGTAAAAGCTGCATGAACTAATGCAGAGTGAAGTAAGCAGAGCCAAGAAAACAATATGCAGAATATCATTTTTAAGAATAAACAATATATTGCTTTTAAAAATAACTGAATGACTAAGTTATTTTAACTATTATAAATACACAAATTAAAAATAAAGGACATATAAAGAAATATGCTATCTGCATCCAAAGAACTGATAAATAGACGTATATATAGAATAATTTTACATACATATATAGACACCTATTTGTGTCTACTGCTAGCTTGGGGCCATCTCCAGTCACATCTTGCCACTGAACTCAAATGGCTCCAGAGAAGAGAGTGAGGCTGGTGACTTTTCACAGCCCTGACTCATTTAAATCCAATCCACTTGCAAGTCATGACAACACCTTCCCTGATGTTATGGTCCTCTTCAAGAATAAAGGACAAACAACAATCAACAATCTGTGAATATTAGTAGTTGCCCCACTGAAACCCAACTGGCCAGTTCCAATTGGGCAACACAGCTTGCTATCCTTCCTTCCTTCCTTCCTCCTCTACCTCCATCCACATAGAAAAACCTGCTGGTGCTCTTACCCAAAGGAAAATAAATTTTGGTTGTTGAAATCTCACGAGATATATTGGAGTTTACAATATAGATTTCTTTTTTAAGGACCTTGCCTTAAACCCAAATCACTCTTGCTCTCATTG